GCAGGTCGGACACCTGGCCACGGGGAGAGTGAGGGTCGGAGGCAGCGTCAGAGGCTGAGGCTACGAAGCCCTCACTCACTCTCGGCAGGGCCACACCTCCTCCAGCAGCCGCTCGAGGCGGACCCGCCCCTCGGCGCTCTCGCGCTGCAGCTTGCGCAGCCGCTCCGCTGGCTCGAACCGCCCCGCGTCCTCCGCCAGCGCCAGGTCGAGCTTGGCGCGCGCCTCTGCCAGCGCCGTCTCGTGCGCCGCCTGCGCCTCGCGCGCTGCGGCGGCGTGCTCGAGCGCGGCGGCGTCGTGCGAGGCGCGGAGCCGGTCGGCGTCGCGCCGTGCGGCGGAGGCGTCGGAGCGAGCGCGCTGCAGCTCCGCCTCCAGATCGCTCGCGCGTGTGCGGTGCGGCGCTGCCGCCTCCTCGACGAGCCGGAGCCGCATCGCCTCGAGGTCGGCGGGAGGGATGAGTTGCTCGCGCAGCGACTCGAACTCGCGCGTCGCCGCGTCGAGCTGGGCCGACCACCGGTCGCGCTGCTCCCCGTGCTCAACCCGCGCCGCCTCCTTCTCCTGCTCCAGGCTCGCCACCCTCGCGTGCAGCACGTCGTGCGCCTCCTTTAGCCGGAGCGCCTCGGCGGAGAGCGAGTCCCACTGCTCGCGGAAGCTGGCACGCTCCTCCTCGCTCTGCGTCAGGACCTGCTCGATCCGCGCCTTGAGGGCGGCGTTCTCCTCGTCGAAACGCGGATCGGCCATCGAACGCTCAGAAAAAAAGGGGCGCACCCCTCGCGATGCGCTCCCCGCTCCCGTTCCCCTGTGTCCCTGATCGTCCTTACAAGATCCTGTTCGTGCAGGTGGGGACCCTGTCCTTCTCCCACCCCTCGTTTGGCGTGCCCGTTTTATTTATTTATTACGCGCACCCCCGGGGCTAGGGCTCTCTTGCCCGCAACCCGATCCCGATCATCCGGCCCGCTGGGTGCGCTTCTCAGCTCCCCGGCCCTGGATGTGAGGCTAATGACTGCACTCCAAGTGCTCCAAGTGCCCGATCCCGCTCCCTTCCTTATCGGAAGAGCTGCGCCGAAAGGAGAGCGACGCGACAGAGGAAGAAGCGACAAGGGAGAGCACGACGAGAAGGGGGCGACCGCGAGGTGGCACGAAGATCGCAGCGAGAATCGGAGAGAGACTGCGAAGAGAGATAGGAAGAGGCGGACGCCCAAGGGTGGGCGACGGCTAGCGCACCACACCTCTCTCCTTAAAATCCCTGTGTGGTGGCGGCGTGCCGTCCTCCCATCCCTCCCTTGGGTTGTCCGTTTTCTTTCTTTCTTTCCTTATCGGAGCACTTGGAGCACTTGGAGTGCAGTCATCAACCGCACATCCAGGGCCGGGGAGCTAAGAAGCGCACCCAGCGGGCCGGATGATCGGCATCGGGCTACGGGCCAGAGAGCCCTGACCCCTAGGGGGGTGCGCGTTCGCAGGGAAAGGGCCGTAAAATAAACACGGGTCTCCGAGGGTTGGCTCCGCGCTCCGGGTTTCCCCTACATGTACATGTACATGTAGCAGCAGAAGCCAGAGGGCCCCCTCTACTCGGAGCTAGCAAACACTAGCGACGGACACGACGCCCACCACCCCCGGCTGTTCATACCCCCACACGAGCAAATAGCAAAATCCGAATATCGTGCACAAACTGCGTGATGTGGCCCGTGCAAGCCTTCAGCTGTGGTGGCGCAAGACTCCGTTGTTATGCCCCCCCCCCCCCCCATCCATGAACACACCAGTGAGGGAGGGCGAGACGATCGAGGGGTCCCGTACCACACGGAATCGACCCTATCCAGTGCTCAAGTGCTCAAGGTGCCCGAAACGTCTCCGCGCTGTGTCGAGCGCGGCTGCTGGTGAGCGTCAGTAAGCTGCTGCCGGGTGTGACCTCGCTCAGCTTTCGTCCTCCCTGTTCGACCGGCCCCGGCTGCTTGTGTACCCGGCGAAACATCACGCCTTCACGTCTAGGCAGGTACCTTCCCCTCAAGAGCCTTTTCTTTTTGAGCTTAGCCTTCGATGTTATGAAACAACGCAAGGCGGACATGGCATATCGCTCTCGGGCTCACAGACATCCCTCACACCCGCCGCACACCCGCCGCCCCCGCGCGCGCCCCACCCCGGCCGGGAGAAAGGGGAGTGACAGTTTGGGACTCGCAAGCCCGAGTATGTTGAGTCCTGGCTCAACAACGCAGGGAACAAGAGGGGGTGGTCCGGCTCACAAGTCCGGCTCACGCGCCTCGAGCTCGCCATCTACCGCACTGATCACTTCCGCCCCCTCGCTCCCAACCCATCCACCCCGCCCCGGGCCGCGCCGCGCGATCTCGGGCGATCTCGCGCTATCTCGGGCAATCTCGGGGCCGCGCCGCGCTATCTCGGGCGATCTCGCGCTATCTCAGGCGATCTCGGGGCCGCGCCGCGCTATCTCGGGCGATCTCGGAGCGTCGCTCGCGCGGCGTCACACCTGCTCAAAAAGGAAGGAGGTTGGAGGCAGGAGGTCACGCCCCATCCGGAGCGCCGCCGTCGCCGGGTTTTTGGCCCCCGGGTCGTCGCCCGACGGTTGCTGCGCGGGGCAGCAGACCGTCGGACGGCGCGACGACGCCCCGTCCGGCACGCTCCCCCCTCCACCCGGCTATTGCCGCACGAGCGCCCTCAGCGGCGGAATTTTTCCCTCGCGCTTCCTTGGGCCCCCGGCAACGCCGACGGACTTCCCGTCCCCCCACCTGCGCCGCAATCACCGCCGTGATTGTCGGCGCTGCGCCCCTTGGCGCCTGTGCATGGTGAGGGCAACAACCACCCGGCCAGCCGGGCTCGGCACGTTGCGGACCGAGGCGACGACCCGGACCCCGACACAGACGAGGGGGGGGGTGGAGGCGGGGGGGGGCGAGCTGTCGGGACAGGGGGCTAGCTCAGAGCCCCGAGACCCGGAGGCCGGGGATCCCGAAGAGGAGGCGAGCTCGCAGGATTTCCTGATCGAAGAGCCTGACTCGCAGGAGAGCGTCTCGAGCATGGACGTGGACGGGGTGGGGGAGGCAAGCTCGCGGGACACCCTGTCTGGGCAGCCCGACTCGCAAGGCAGCTTCTCGAGTATGGACCTGGACGAGGAGGGCGAGGCGGAGAGCGGCCCTGCGCCTGACGAGGCGGGCGAGACGAAGGAGGGCGACGGACAACGTCGCGGCGCAGGGGGTCCGGAAAGCGGCGGGGCTGGAGGGGGCGGCCCCTCCCCGAACCTCGCCCTCGGGCGTGTTAAAGTCGTCGGCCAGGGAGGCAGGACTCCTGCAGGGCACCTTCGGGTGGATCTCAGTAGAGCCGGCAGGCACCCCGAGCTCGCGACGCCCTTCACGACTGGGACGGCCAGGGAGCGCACGTGCTTCGATCGCCGGGGGCACCATGGAGGGTGCGCCTGCGCCACGGAGGCACTCCGGGCGGCGTATGCGATGTGGGGGGAGGGCCGGGGAGATGCTGCCTCGGCGCGCGCTGCCGCGACGCGGCACGGAGTCGACCGGGCCACGCCGGCGAGGGAGATGCGCTCCAGCGAGGGCCGCGTCCTGGAAACCGCCGACGCGTTCCTGGACGACAAGGCCGATCGACTCTGGAGGACGCGGTCGGCGGCGCTTCGCGAACTGGCACAGAAGGTTCGAGACGGCACGGATCTTGTGCTCCTATGCGCGGGTAGGATTGAGTCCTGTCACGGCGATCTGCTGAGGAAGGGGATCCTGGCCGACGCGGCGCGGCTCGAGGCCACCAGCAAGAGGAAGCCGCGCTCCGACAAGGGCAAGCCGAGGGGTCCTCGGGGGCCTAGGGCCGACTCGGTGGAGACAGCGGCCCGCATGGGGGTGCTGTCGACCTTCTACCTCCGGCACGCTTATGGACGGGACAGCCCGGGGCTGCATGAAGAGGACGGGGTACTCTCCGCGAATGGGGGGGTGCTGTGTGCGGGGTGCGGAGAGGAGGCGCCCGGGCCCGGGGCGCGGGACGGGAAAGGGGGAGGCGGCGGGGGGGCGGCGTGGACGAGGAAAGAGGGGGTGTCGCGGGGGAGCGGGGGAGGAAGAGGGGGAGGGACCCAATTGAGGAGGAGGCGGTGGGTGTGGTGGGTGGGGAGGGGGGGGGGGGTGTTTGGGGAGATGGGGGGTCGGGAAGGTCCGGATGGGGGGACCTCAGAGGGGAGGGGGCGTGATGGAAGACTGGAGCGTGGAGGGGGGGGCAAGCAGGAAGACGAAACGGGTGAGATCGCGGAATGGAGGAATGAACCGGATCAGACGGGATCAGAGCCAGTCGTAGCGGGCTTGGGTCATACGTGTTCAGCTCTGTACACCCACGAGTTACTTTGACTTCTGCCCGGATAAAAGAAGAAAGACAAAAACCTGCCGCCCTCCCCTCCCCTGCCCCGCACGCGCCACAGGCACCCACACAGTCCCCGGCGCTCTGATATAGGTGATGCGGCGCTGTGACTCTCAGATGGAAGCAGGAAGCTTCCATCCCGGCGGTGGTTCGAACCCACACGAGCCGAGGGGTGACGGGTTGAGGGCTGGGGGTCTGAGGCTCACCCATTGAGGAAGTGAGGTGCTGCTCCGTCCACCCGGATCCTGCTGAACAAGCTCCTCTTGTAGCTCGATCGGTCACACCGCCATCGCCGTCGGGGAGAGGGGGGACGACACTGCTTCGGCAGCGTGCACCTCGATCCTGTACCGTGTTATTATGACCCCCCGATGAACACACCAGTGAGGGAGGGCGAGACACATAAGGGGTCCCGTACCATGCGGAATCGACATCTTGGATTGTCGCCGAGAAGCCGAAGTCCTATGCTGAGCGCTTTGCGAACCAGCGCGCGCAAGGCGCCTGCCCTGGCGCGCCTGGGCGTGCGCAACTTTGGGCACGACCCCGCGCACGCCGCGGGTAAGCCCTCCTCCCTCCCCCGCGCCCTCCCTCCCCTCCCCTCTCCGCCCCACCGACCCCGCACTTTGCGACGCACAGCCGAGACTGACAAGTGGAAGAAGATCTCGTATGTCGCCATTCCATGCGTGGTCGGTTACACGTGCTTCGTCATGGCCACAATGAAGCACGGCCACCACGAGGAGGTGCGTGCACACCCACCCCTTTGTCCCACTGCCGACGGCTCCCTACCCGGTCCGGTGCCTCCGTGCGCACACCTAGTGGGTTGAGCTGCTGACGACTGCGCAGGTCGCGTACCAGTACATTGGCATCCGCAACAAGCCGCTGCCGTGGACGGTGCATGTCGGCCCATGGCCACCGGTCGCATGCCGGTTCTCACCCCCCCCCCCTCCCCTTTCAGAACCGGGGCGGCTCCAAGTGCGACCTCTTCGACTACAAGTGCGCCGCCAAGGAGAAGGCCGCCGCTGCCGCGGAGTGAGCGGGCTGTCTTAGGTTTGTGGTTGCAGCTGTGCTGTGGGACGAGGCCCCGGCCAATCACAGAGGCCTCGCCTCGAGTCTGTCTCCAGTTGTGTGGCAGCCGTGCGTGCGCAGTCATCGGAAAAGGTAGTTACTACCAAGGCGATGTAAGGTACAGAGGGATCTAGCCGTAGCGCGCGTCGTGCGAACGGGGCGCGCACGCACATAAGTGAGCGCCGCACCCGGCACCCCGCACCGCGGCGCGTGCGCCACTGCACGGTGGCTCTCGAGCGGTCTCCCACGCGCGCCCACTGCGCAACTCCCTCCCCGCCCCCCACCCTCCCCTTCCCCCTTCCCCCACTGCCGCCCGTCCGCCCTAGACCATAAACCAACGACGCGGCTCCTCGTGGCCGTGACGCGCGCTGGGAAGAGCGGCGTCCCTCGCGCCGCTCGCCACGACCACCCTCCGTGTAGGCC